GAATCTTAACTTTCTAAGACCTTCTTTGCAGTCATTGACCCCAAACCTAAATATTTTTAATTTCCTGTGGGTGAGAAAATCCCCTTTTCCCGCGCCTTTGCTGTTTTGCAGCCTTTTGGAAGAGTATATGGTTAAAACATGGTTTAGAGATCTGCTTTTCGCAAAATCGCAGACAGAGACATTATAAATCCTATGAAAATCGAGATTTTTTAAAAGAAAGATTATAATATTTGGAATAATTATCACGTATTTATCCGAAGTTAACTAGAAAAGTTTAGAATTCTTAAAAATTTCAAAAAAATCATTTTGAGAAAAAAAAATGGTTTGCATTCTCAAAATGATACTTGTTAATTGCTTAAATTATAATTTGTTTCCAAATAATATCGCCATAAATTAATTATTACGAACTAGTTATAATATTAATATGCATTATTATACTGTAAATACTAATGTCTTTCATTAATGTCTCTCCTTGCTTAATTCAGTTAATTTTTAAACAATTTATGAATGATAATAAATTAATAAATTGGTAATGAATAATAATAAATTAGCAATCAATAAAAATAATATTGTAAAAAGAAATGTATTTAGATAAAAAAAAATCGAAAATAAAACTTCGGTTCTGTGGTATTAATTCTCCTCGATTTTATTTCGAGTAAAATGTTTTGAAAATATGGTGGTTTATATTTATTACTTTCATCGGAAGTATCGTTTTAGAAAATTTATCACTAATAGAAATAGGATGATAACATCTATAGCGAAAAGGAGAGCAAAATTATTTAACATTTAAGAAAAAATAATTATGATTTTTTCATTTTTGAAAAAAATGAGAGTTTCTTCAAACGAAAAATATAATTTCTGGGCAATTATATCCAAATTCTTTTTTACATAAGCATTAAAAGTTAAAACATATTTAACTAAAAATTGAGGAAAAAATAGAAATGATAAAAAAGCAATTGATGCTTGTTATAGCTTCAAATTTTTCCTCTTTTCTTCCTATCTAAAGATTTTCTTCTCCGTACATCTATAATTTCTGAGCAATTTTATACACATTCTTTTTTACATAAGCATTAAAAATTAAAACTATATTTAACTAAAAATTGAGGAGAAAATAGAAATGATAAAAGAGCAATTGATGCTTGTTATAGCTTCAAATTTTTCCTCTTTTCTTCCTATCTAAAGATTTTCTTCTCCGCACATCTATAATTTCTGAGCAATTTTACCCACATTCTTTTTTACATAAGCATTAAAAATTAAAACTATATTTAACTAAAAATTGAGGAGAAAATAGAAATGATAAAAGAGCAATTGATGCTTGTTATAGCTTCAAATTTTTCCTCTTTTCTTTCTATCTAAAGATTTTCTTCTCCGTACACCTATAATTTCTGAGCAATTTTATCCACATTCTTTTTTACATAAGCATTAAAAATTAATAATATATTTAACTAAAAATTGAAGAAAAAATAGAAATGATAAAAGAGCAATTGATGCTTGTTATAAGTTCAAATTATTCATCTTTTCTTTCTATCTAAAGATTTTCTTCTCCGTACAACTATAATAAAAAAAATTAAGAATGAAGAAAAATTAATATAAAAAAAAATTTTATATGAATAATTTTTACTTCCGTTGCAATTGTGTTAAAAATTAAATATATTTTCTTTCTACTTCCTTAAATAGATTGTTTATTGTACCGCAGCATGAACTCCCTATAGTAGCATGCCATTAGATACTTTTTTTTCTATTCTTTTCAGTATTTTTTCAGTATCGCAAAAAAAAGATCAATTCTAAAGAAAACATATGGTATTCAAGCTTAAATTGATAAAATGAATGGGAAAGTAAAATAATTTTTCTCGTTGTCATTTTTGATTTTACTCATGTGAAATCAAATTTGAGTCAATTGTTACACCTATATACTTTAGAAATGCTTAAGAACAGTTTAGTTTTATTTTAATTTTATTGTTTTATTTTAATCTTTGCAGGAATCTTTACCTGCCTACTGCATTAACCCTTTGCTTACGGTGTTCATGTTGTACCATCGCATGCGGTCCATGTGTTGTACTAGCCGTAAGTAAAAGGTTAAAAGATGAAAAGGTAATACAGAGAATACTACTAATTAAATGAATGATTTATAAAATCAATCTCTTTCAAGAATTAAAACACCAAAAATGGAATCATTACAGTGTCTCAACACGCTAAGACCATTCATTTATGAAATCACTATCGTTCTTTTATTAAACCATATTTTCATCAGACAAATGCTTTAAAAAGTAAAAAATAAATCTGCTTTTTCTTGTCTGAATATTTAGAGTTTTCTATTTTCCTAAGTAAAGGAAAGTAAAGTAAAAAGTATGGTAAAAAATACCGACACTCAAGGTTCCGGTACTTTTTACCGTAAAATTATTTACCGGAATATTTTACGGAACAAAAAATCTGATATAGCGTAATTTTTACAGTAATGTTTACTGCAAAATCACTGAATATATATAATTAAAGAAATATAACTGAAAGAATTATATATTTCATGGTGTAAAATTTCACGCTAAAAATGGATTTGGCGATAAAATAGATTTTACGTATGATGCACCCCAAGTGCATACAATACAGTAACCGTACCATACAGAAATTTGTACGATTTGGATACTATAATATTTATGAAAACTAACTGAATTATTTCAAAATAATATTTATGAAAACTAATTATTTTATTAAAATTTTTGCAAGCTTTCGAACGTTTTAATTCCTACTTAAATTTATTTTTCAAACAAAGATGGCATTAGATTTTACGCATTAGTTTTGCATTATATAGAATAAAAATACATTTTCACATAATTGAATTATTCCAGTATAATTCTTTCTTCAAGAATTTCAATTTTCAGAAAATGAATTATTGGAAGTTATTATTAATACAAAATAAATCTTCTTTCTCCCCTTAAATTGCATCGTAAATCGAACATAAATTCTTCCCACATAATAAATCCTTTCCATTTTATTTATCGTCTGCTTCGGTTAGAGAAAAAATTTAACTGCGAAATAAGAATGATAATGCTGTACTGTATAAAGTAAACAAATACAATATAATATTTTACCGTAAAAATGTATTTTTTGGTAAAATAGATTTTACGGATGATGCACCCTAAGTTCCAGCACTTTATACGGTAATTTGATTCAAAATTTTTCACTGTGTAGCTACAATAATATTTATAAGAACTAAGTGAAGAAAAAAAATATTACTTTTTAAAAAATACACAAATATTTTAAATTCCAATTTAGTTCATTTTCCAAACAGAAGTCGCAAATGATTTTACTTTAAATAAATATACATATATTCTTAAATATATTCTCACATAATTGAATAATTCTATTATAATTCTTTATTCGAGCAATTTCAATTTTCATAAAATGAATTATTAGAAGTTATTATTAATGCTAAAAAAAAGTCTTCTTTCTCCACTTAAATTGCATCGTAAATCGAACATAAATTCTACCCACATAATAAATCGATTCCATTTTATTTATCGTCTGCTTCGGTTAGGAAAAAAAACTGAATTGCGGAATAAAAACGATAATGCTGTCTTACACATTCGATAAATCGGCATTGGGAAATATGAGTTATAGAATCCATTTTCCAGGACAGAGGATCCTTGAAACAAAGTTAGATGGAGCAATTTGTTTGCTCTATCGTAGACAAATTTGATTCTTTATGCCCCACTGAACTTCTTTATCGATATTCGATAATATCGATTCTAAAACCTTTCTTAATTGATGAGGGCATCACATGGTTGGAAACTTATGATAGAGAACACATTGCAGAAACATATTCAAACACAATACATGATATATTAGAAAATTATTCTTTTGAAGCTATAACTGCGACTTTAATCATAGTTTAGCAATATTTTGTTTGAAAACAGTTCCAATCAAAATTATTTTGATTTGTTTGTTTATATTTTTGATGTGTGATGAAAACTATTTAAGTTGGAAAGTATATAACGGAGATAAATTTTGGTTTATTGGTATAAGGTATATTGGTATATTTGAGAAGGCGTGATTATATATTTATTCCTTTTTTATTATTGAATATGTGAATTAAATTCAGTTTAATATAATTTAGTTATGATAGATTTTAAAGGATTTTACAGCAACTACTAAACAAATTTTAAAAGAAATAAAAATAAAAATCACGTTTTAAGTGATAGAGAGATAATAAATGGCATTTAAATGATTAAAACCATACATTTTGCTCATTTCAGATTATAAATTCATTTTGAACAATGTTAAGCCTTCCTGGTCCAAAAATTACTTTTTCAGTCAATAATGGATTGATTTTTTAACTTGATTTTGCTGACCCATAGTTCTAAAAGCATTAGAAATATGGTGCAATGCAAATTTTTTCTGGCTTTTTTCACCGCAGAAAATAGCCATATTATTTGCTGGACTTGAAACCGAGTGGATTTTATCGTATCGGTCTTGGAGACACTAGTTCACATTCAAAAGTCATAAGTTGTTGGCATCTTTAAAACTATCTTTATACAAGAAATATGATAAAATATCAGTAAATCAGTTGCAATTGAAAGAAGAGAAACGTTGGTGACTCATATGCAAATGTTTGAAATAAAAGCTTCATACATAAAAGGTAAGCTTTGTGCTATGTAGACAAAAGCAAAAAACAACATGATAAAAGCACTAATGATAGTACATAAATAGACATACTATAGTTCCAGTTCTATAAACAAGAATTTGTCTCGGCGTCTAAGCGTCAAATGAAGATGGAGAAGTAAAAAGAGGAAGACGTGTAAAGTGGTTTAACCAATAAGGACAGAGGAACAAGTTTAAACAAAGAAAAAAAAGGAGGGGGAAAATTAACTTTGAATGATCATTTTTATTATGTGTGATCATCTTATATAAATTTTAGCATTCAAACTAGCAATAGAATTTTGTATAATGTTGTGTTAATGTGTGCGTATGTCTTTTTATTAAATAATGTAAATATTCCTTTATAGATTCTTTTGAAGGAATCAGAACTTATTACTTTGGATAGAAGAGAGAAGAAGAAAGGTTATACGAAATTTCTAATGGGTATGTGCTTAATTTCTTGATTTTAATAACTCAAAACTATTGTGAAAATTCAAATAGAGAAAACAAAACTGTAGCATTGTTAACGCTAATGCTTGTGTGTTTGATATTCTATGTCTCTTAAAAATTTTGAGAAAGCAAAATTTTCCTTTTAAGATTTTAGAAATGCTTTTTCTTTGAATTATTCCTTACTAACGTTCAGAAAAACGAAAAAATCCGACTACACAAGACAGAAAATGTGATACCGAAAAATTGAACATTTTTCTTCGTAGCTCGTATATATTTGAATGAGTGTATTTAGTTTAGCATAGATTGCAGTGAAAATTATTGAAATCAGTTATTCATCTCAATGAACAGTTTCCTGTGCATTGCAAATTATTTTATATGATTTTAAAAATATATTCACTGTAAAACGCAATTCTGAAAATCTCGTCAATTTGTTTAACTTTCATATATTATACGATAGTTTTTACCGTAAAATAAATTTTTACAGGAGCTTGTTACAGAACAAAAAAATCTGATACACAGTAATTTCACAGTGATAATTACAGTGAAATCACTGAGTCACTCTAATTAAGTAATAGTTACTGTAAAAATTATGGTTTAATAGTTTAGAACAAAAATGGAATTTACGATAAAATGGATTTTACGGATTACTGCACCTGAAATGACGGTACTTAATACCGTAATTTTATCTGTAATTTTTAACAGTGTAAGACTACCAATCTAATTCAAATGCATGTATAGCATAAATGCATATATTCCTTAACGCAGATATAACTTTGCATCACGTCATTTTGCGTCACTATATAGCAATGAAAAAAAATACATATAAACTATCACGAATGAATATCGTATTATTTCTTTTACATTTTGGCATCAAAGACTACAATTTAAATACTAATTATTTCTAAATCACGTTAATACGATTCAGATCATAGTATTAAAATTGTTATTATACAGATAAAGATTTTCGCATTCAACTTATGAAAATCAAATCAAACGGAGAAATAGTATCCATTAAATCTTTATTTCCATAACATAGTTATTCATATAAATAATAAGAAATAGCGTATTAAAACAAGCTTTAAATATAATGTAGTAAAATATATGGATATTTTGTTTCATCAAAAATTAAATGCGAGTACAGTATAAAATTTTTTAATCAGATCACTTATCTTAAAAGGAAGACACTCGGGAAGTTGAAACTTAAGTTTAGTTGGCGCATCTTTCCCTTTGCTTTAAGACAGCTAGTTAGCAGAGCCTTGAAAGATTTCGCGACTCAAGATCGTACTTGGAGATTCTCAACAAATTGCAATTTCCCAAGTGCGAAACTCTTTGGGAAAGTGGGCTGACCGTACATATACATAATGGAAGTTGAGTTAGTAATTATGCATCACTTAATGATGTCCCGTGTTTTACGCCTAACACATAGTCTCTTATCTCTAACCTTTGCGCCAACGACTATGCCCAACTCATTTAGGAAATGCAAACTGAAACTCCTTGGCGAGAGAAAAAGCTCTGCTTATTTATTTATAACAGTTTGAATATTTCATCACGTGGTTATTTTAAGCGTTTGGGAGTAGAGTTTATTTCTAAGCTAAACTAGAAATTACAGCGTTAAACTAACATTTTATAGGGAAAAATGTAATGTCTACACTGTAGAAATCCAAAATGATTATGTTAGTTGTTCGTTTGATTACCGATAAAAGAAATATTTACTCATACCGGATATTCCACTATGTAGGAATGTCGTATTTGTTGGTTTTAGAAATATAAAACTCGGTTAAGAATCTTTAAGTTCCTTTAATACACTGGTTATCATAAATTAAGGAAAATTCACAAAAATCGCGATAACTCAAGAAATTACACATGGAATTTTATGAAACTTACCCACAATATACAACACATAGTAAGGTATTAAACAACATAAAAAGAAATTATCAGACATTAATAGTAGTATAGAAATTAGCACATGTATAAAATAAACAAATTGGAAGTATCGGTTTGCAATAGAAAAAGTACCTTTAATATGGAATATGATTGCCTCTAGAAGCAATACAGCACAAACAGCGATGTGTGATGCTTTCAATTATGCGGTCTATCAGTTCAATAGGAAGTGAGAGCCATTGCTCTTGTAAAGCAGTTGCAAGCGTGGCAAGGGTCTGAGGGGGCGGATTGATGGCAGATACACGCCTCCCTAGAGCATCCCAAACGTGCTCGATAGGATTCAAGTCCGGGGATCGAGCTGGCCACTCCATGCGAGTAATTGTTTCCTGTTGAAGATAATCATCAACAATGCGAGCTCTGTGTGGTCTTGCATTATCGTCCTGTAACAGGAAGCAATCACCAATTGCCCCGGCATATGGGCGCACATAAGCATCAAGGATGTTGTCTCGATAAACCTGAGCATTCACGGTTCCCCTTGGAAAGACATGGAGGTATGTGCGCCCTCCTAAGGATATGCCTCCCCAAACACAGACACTGCCTCTTCCGTATGCATCTCTTTCACGGATGTTTGATGGATGATAACGGGTCCCAGGTTCTCTCCATATCAAATAACGTCTACTGTCACTTTCTAGACTAAACCTGGACTCATCCGTAAAGAGAACAGGCCTCCATTGATCTGACGTCCAGTGGACATGTTGTCGGGCCCACTGCAAACGGTCTCTCCTATGGCGTGATGTGAGCGGCACGCAAATGGCTGGTCGTCTCGCATACAGACCACCTTCGTGGAGCCTTCTGCGCACAGTTGACGTTGACACCAACCTTCCGGTGGCTGCAGCAAGAGAGGATCTAAGATGTGTCGGAGTAGCGGTTCTATTCCTGCGTGCACTTAATGTCAAATATCGGTCATCGGCACTGGTCGTAACAGTTGGCCGTCCTTGACTGAACCTCCTAGATGCCGAATCTGTGGTTTGAAATTGCCTCCAAAGTCTATGAACCACAGATGGACTCACATTTAGCCATCTGGCCACTTCTGATTGACTCTGCCCTGCCTCTAGTCTCCCGATGGCTCTCCATCGTAGTTCTTCAGGCAAATGATGCCTAGAGGTCATTATTACGAATTGGCTATCTCAGATTTTCAATGTCGCAATCACAGTAAAATTTGTGTGCTTTCTCTCAAACTTGGACTTTTATGCTCCAGGCAGATGACGTAAGCCGAGTGCAGCGCCACTAATTTGCATATTGCAATTTTACTCAGCTACTCTTAGTGGACAACATATGCAAATTTTGCACGGTTTGGCTTACTTTTGAAAGAGTTATCGCTATTTTTGTGATTTTTCCTTAATTTATGATAACCAGTGTATATATGAAAAAAATGTTGAATGTATAGAAGTTTGTATCTGTGGCGTAACTACCACTATAAATATTAAATACCAATTCAATAGTATATAAGACATGTTAACTCGATTCTATCTGGAGGTACCTTTTGACAGATGAAGGTTGACATAGTCTTTAAATAAATCCCTCATTAGTGACCCGGAGGTGATAAGGAATTGCCAATATTGATGGATGAATCCACATTAAACAGTTGATTTCCTAAAAATATGCTGCTCGAAGAAAGAAGAAAAATCCGGTGAAGTAATAAAAGTCTCCCGGATAATAAAATGAAGGGGAAAAAATGAGCGAACTGCTATAAACTAAATTTTAAAAAAATAAATAAATAAAAATAACAAAATAAAAAAAATTTTAAAAAAATCCGGTGAAGTAAATAAAGTCCCCGGGTCAATAAATAATACAAAAAAAGCAAGAAGAAAAAAAATAATGAGCGAATTGCTATGAAAAAAATTAGCGAAAATTATATTAATAAATGAATAAAACAGCATGAATCAACTAGTGGCATTCATTCATCGAATTCTATCACAGATAAAATTCTGGAAGGGGAGTAATGAGGCGTAACTACGACTATAAATATTAAATACTAATTCACTAGTATATAAGACATGTTAACTTGACTCTATCAAGAGGTACCTTTTGATAGATGAAGGTTGACATAGTCAATAATTAATTCCTTTCATATCTACTTAATACAAATCTTCAATTCCGGATCATTCCACACCAAATGTGGTTCATATACGTTCCGAGACACGGTGGGCCTAACTGTTTATTTCAAAACTCCCTCTGAACTCTGACTTGCGGACTACATTGCAATGAAATAATTATCCGTTGGATTTGATAGAAATTTATAATATGAGTGATTTTTTAGCTTACAGCTCTAAATAGTCAAAAATTAGTTTTATTATTCTTATGAGTTATTAATCTTAGCTTTCCTATGTTAGGTTATCACATGTAAAATCAGCGTTAATAATTTTTTCAACTTATGGGAATGACGTCACAGAATTCATGTTTTAAAATGTTATGATGTTAGTTGTATTTTTATACATATAATTAGTGGCAACTCAACAGGTACTCATAAAATAAAATTAATGTTATCTTTTCAGCCATTGAAAGTATATGGAAAATTATGAATATCACACTCTAAGTGATAATAGTTTTTAATCCTTCTCTTAGTTAGTTGAACTAACTTAGATTATGATAAATCTAATAGTATACCGCTGCAGCAGAGTATGCAACAAATAATAAAAATTACAGGTTGTTCTTTTGTACCATGAGTATATAAGATGGGGATAATAGGCTCTTATTACCACAGCACTTATACCAGTACACAGTACAATACCAATAGTTTTTGAAACCCCATTTAACTCAGCATTACTGCTGTCTATAATAGCTTGGTGATTTTTTCGGCTTTCGAAATAAGTACCGATATTAGTTCGTTTGTCAAAAATAATGAATAAATATTAGTGTCATAACTAATTATTTTTGAGAATTACAGCTGCGATAGCTCAGGGGATAAAATGTTCGCCTTCTAATGAGGCGAACCGGGTTCAAATCCCAGTCGATACGAATTCCGCATCCGGCTTGCATGAACTACAGTGCTGACGTGAAATATCCTCAGTGGTAGACGGATCATGGGTTAGAGTCCCCTTGCCGTCAGGCTA